GAGGTTAGCTTAGTTAACAAGGATAAAGATCATAATAAATGATTGGTATAGATTCTGACAAAGTATAGTTTGAGGTTGATTGTAGGGTTGAAAATTGTAGGGGTAATTGGGGAATGAGCAATAAAAAAGTGTGGTTGAAGAAGGAAATTAGAAACGAGAGTTGAAAGTGAATAACAAGAGGAGCGAAATAATTTAGACGTGAATTTTATTATGCAATTGTAAATTGTAAATTTTAATTTTTATGTCCTTTGAGAAAATCTAATGTAAAAGTATATATATTTATCTTTTATGCTAAATGTAATTTTTATATTTCGTACAATTTTTTTGCTCTAAAATGTTACTAATCTATCAGTTAATATTTAAAATAAAATATTATTGATAACACAATTGAAACACGACTTTAGTGTAATTTAAATGAAAATAACTTATTCATATAATTTAAACTATTTTTTACTTTTAATTCTAAAATTATTACTTTAATTTTTAAGATAAAATTTTAATTATTTATTTAAGACCGTGCATATCATGGGTTTACCGCTAGTATATTTATATGTATGTATGTATGTATGTATGCATGTATGTATGTATGTTTAAGTTCTTCTGACTCAAATCTGTACTGTTTATATGTCTTCCCTAATTGAGAAACAATTATTACTTTGGCATCAAACTTATAAAGAAAGTGTTATCGACAAAGATTCCTAATTCATTCACTTCTTCTATCAAAGAAAGTGTTACCAGTCTACTCATTCTACTATTGTTTCTGGTGATTTCAGACTCCTTAGACAATTATCGACATTCTTTGTGTCTTGTGAGTTTTCCATTATTTATTCCACTTGATACGCACATACAATTTTGTATTTTAGTATTTCCATGCTTGTAAATTCTATGTATATGTAGTCCGTGGCAGTTATCTCTATATTGTTGTGGTATATACATAATCAATACCAAACTCTAGGACTTGAGCAAACAACGAATCTAGAACTATGAACTAAAAGAATAGAAAATCAAACTCACTAAAGCAACATAAGAGATTTACGTGGTTCACCCAAATTGCAGGCTATGCCCATGGGGTCGCTTCGAATTTACCAAGAGTCTCTCACACTAAATCTCACAAACACTCTCTCTATAATGATCTATCTCTCATCTTCACTATTGTGTATTTCTTTCTAAGATCACAAAACTAATGAATCATAAATATAGAGGTACATGGGTGTATTCGTAGGATAACCTCAAACTCAATCCTAAATTAATAAGGAAATCAAAACCTAAATGAACAAGGAAAACCTTAACTAATAAAGAAATAGTTGAGAGTCCAAATCTAACCAAATACTAATTTTCTTATTTCGTTTCCTAATTTGATTAGGTTTAGTATTGTTTCAGGATCCATCAACAACCTATGTTTCACGGACTTGGTAGAAGTGTCGGACACAGATACGTGTCTAAGAGTCGGATTCTCCATTTTCTTTGATTTTAGGATATGGAGACACCGATAAAAAGTTGGATACGAGTACGAGAATACATTTATTTATATATATTTTAAAAATATATGAAGGAAATTCCATATTTAATATGTAAAAAAAAATAAAGAACAGTTGATTCAGGGATGGTAGTCCCACATAATAACAGATAGGAAAGAACTTCTATCTGTTGGTATTTCCATAATAATACTAAAAAAATATATAAAATAAAATTAAACAGAAATGACAATAATTATTTTATTATTATTAAAGAATGAAATACAAAATAAACTACAGAACTAAAAATACAGGAATGATTGAAATCTGGATATTACAACCTGAAGAACAGGAATATTAGAAAAAACAAATTCTAAAATGAAATAATTAACAGAGACGAAAAAGAAGGCAAACCGAAGCTTGTGGTAGCCACAGTTTCCTTAAAACAGATTTATTGCCTCATCGATGGGTGCTGGAAATAAGCCGGCGTCTGTCTCCCAAAATATGCGGTAGAAACCAGTTAAAGCAGAAGCACCTTTTGAATAGTTTCGGCGAACTTGACAATAACATCACTCTTTCTCTAACAAGAACCAAAGAAAGGGTTAGCAAAAAGAAGATAGGAAATTTTTTCGTTGGTGTAAAAACCATCTCCAACTTTCTTATCTGAAAACACCATCTCATTTTTCATCTAAAAAATCTCTCCAAAAAAATTCTACTAAGTTGAAGGGAAAAGGCTTTATATAAGTGGGGGAGTCCCTAGCCATGGCCATGAAGGCTATCATCATGAGGGTCATCAAATGCCATTAACCAAGGTCATCAACTCTAGCCATTAGGGCTAGACTTACAAAGGTTAAAAACTCATGGCCACTAATATGATGATCAACTCCGTCATTAAAAGATCAGAGTTTACAAAAGTCTCAAATTCTCATGTGCTTAATATATACAAATAAATATGTATATAATGATGTTTGAATAATTCAAACATATGGGTCACAAAACAGATACGGATGTTGGGTCACAATCCAATCCAAGCCCAATTTAAAACAAATGCACAAGCTAAGCTCAACACAACACAGCTCAGCCCAAGCTCAAAACTAGGTCTAAATCCAAGTCTAAGACCAAACCCAGCACATGCACATGCACAAGCACAAGCACAAGCCTAGGCCCAATCCAAACCAAGACTGAGTCCAAATCTAAACCTAATTTATTGATACCCACTTTATGAGACAATTCTCATTCACAACCTAATAGTTTCGGCTCATCATTTTTGTATTGTAATCTTCTTACTTAAGAGAATACGATCCCATTTGGACCCACCTCAACCGATGGTTGGGTCCCACTTTAATTTCGAATTGAAGTTGTCGAAAAATCATTATTTTCCAACAGTTCCCCACATGATTAAAATTGGCCGAATAAAGAAAAATAGACAACGTTTAACAACAAAGACTCGGAGAAAGCACACAGATTAACTCTGCATTAGAAAAGGTATCTGTAGGCCTTAAACCCTTCATAGTGAAAGTCTATCGGAATTACTGACTAACCAGTGAACATGATGTTTTGAGCTGTTTTGCCGTTTGTGTAAATCGAGACAATAGACCTCACACAGGAGTTACTTCAACCATCGTTCGGTTGTCACTATTGTGTCTTGTTTGGCCCTGTAACGCTTGCCTGGTTCAATGAGTGTTTTTAAATAATTTGGCTTTGTCAATTCTTAAATAAGCGACTCTACTTCACAATCATATAGGTGACCTACATAAGGTATCTCGCTATACCACGATTGACTATTCACATCAAACAGGTCATTAAAAGCATCAGCTTAATCTTCCACCCCGCAGGGTATCACTGTATAAAGAAATGGCAAGAGGATTTACTTCATTATTGACTCAACTGTTTTATGCAATTACGTTGTCCCTTTGAACATAGATCTTGAAATCTCCAGTCAATTAAGTTAGGTTTTCCATTAGGGTAACACTCGCTAAAGGCCTTAACCCCATTCCTTCTGATGACTTTTCTACTAACTTTCGATTTAACCCTTTGGTTAACTCTACAGTGTTGTCTTTAGACTTTACGTAGTCTATAGAGACTACTTCATTAGAGAGTAGTTGATGTATGGAATTATGTTTATGACGGATATATCTAAACTTTCCATTATACATATTACTCTGTGTCCGTTCAATCACCGATAGGCTATCACAATGAATACATATAGCAAGCACAAGTTTCAACCAACGTGGAATATCTTCAATGAATTGGCGCAGCCATTTAGCATTTTTTGTTGCTTTATCCAAAGTAATAAACTCAGATTCCATCGTTGATCTTAATATACATGTCTGCTTGGAAGATTTCCAAGACACAGCTGGCTCTCCAAGGGTAAAAACATAACCATTAGTGAATTTAGAGTCCTTTATATCAGATATCCAATTCGCGTCACTATAACCTTCTAGTATTGTTGGGTATTTGGTGTAATGCAGCCTATAATCCCGGGTGTAGCATAAATAATCCAATATTCGCATAATGTCCTTCCAATGAGTAGCATTAGGATAACTCGTGTATCTACTAAGCCTGCTAATTGAAATAATAAAAACAAACCATTTGATGATGTCAATATGATGCTCGTAGATCCATCGATCACTCTCAAATCATCAAGGAAACCAATGTATAAACACCCTCCAATATAGAAAATATTGATAACTCTGCTCTCTCAAAATTTGGACGGAGTTAAAACCTAAAAATAGTAAACGGCATACTTTATAGTAAACAGAGTCGCAAAGACTGCTTGAGCACTCACTTTATTGCTCGAGCGGTGAGTGGTGTGAGTAAAAGGCAGTGCAAACATATACACCAACCACTTGAGCGCAACATTCATCGCTTGAGCGGTAAAATTTACTTCCCAAAAGTTCTGAATGCAGGTTGAAATACTGAAAACTCCACTTAACCGCTCGAGTGCACAAATGACTGCTCGAGCGGTTAAACAACTTTGACTTCTTTTTGGTTTTGGGGGCATTGCACAAACAAGAAATGCTCAAGATACGGACTGAGAGCACAAACTTCTCTACACAGGCACAATTCAAGTTGGATTTGCATTTAAACACTCATAACCTTATTGAAACAAAAGAGCGAATAATATTACAACTAAAAGGACTTTTGTCAAACGGGATTGCCAATTACAAAAACCTATCAGAAAACATGACAAATTATGGAACCAATTGATTAAAAGCTTTTTTCTGTTTGATTTTACGTTCATAATAATATTCCCCCATTAATGGCATGATGGTAAGTGCCATTTGCCCCTTGCCTTACGGTTCTGGTTTCAAGTTACAAGTATCAGTCTCTCCACAAAAAAATAAAAATAAAAAAGAAAATGAAAAAAAGATTGTCTACCCATTTCCTTTTAATACTATTCCATGATGGCTAATGACATTTATAGGAAAGGAGTCTCTTTCTAGTGTTTTTGTTACTTTTTCTCATTCGTCCAAGGCCTAGGGTGGTTTGGGCATTGGCTTTTTTAGTGACCTTTTGATGTTTTATGAAAATACGTGTAGAAAAAGTAGAGAAAAGGGGTTGGCTTTGTGTAATAACTTTTTGACTTTTTGACTATTTTGTTAAGTTGCCAAACCACCAGTGTCTATGAAAGTGATATCCTTGATTAAATGGTCGTTAAGGTGTTTGCCCATTTAAATTTTAGGCGAGCTATAAAGTTGATCTATGAATGAAAAATAAGTATTTCTTGATTAATAGGAATCTAATAGTTTTGAAGAAAAGTAAGACAATGCTTTCTACCCTTATGAATTCAACTTTTACTGGTTCAATCTATTATTACACTACAATATTTGTCTTTTCTCCAAATGAATTCTGATGCAGGGGAAAGAACGTTTCTAGAGGTAAAATTATTGTATGTTCTATAATATTCTAAATTGGTAATTGTCGAACAAGTAAATAGAGTATAAAAATTGACCAGGACTTGGTGGGTGACATTGGCCCTGTTTGGTAGAGCTGCGGGAAAGTGTTTATAGCTTATGCCTTAGCAGCTTATAGCTTATAACTATGAACATAAGTTGATTTCTGACTTATAAATTAAGCATCTCCTGCCCCACTCAAAGAATAAGCTGATTTCTGACTTACAAAAAGCTATAAGCTGCATTGTTAAGCTAAACCAAACACATCAAAATAGCTTAAATTAAGCTGAAAGCTGAAATAAGCAGCTTTTAAGCTGCACCAAACAGGCACATTGACTACCTTAAGTAGGTAGCATATTTGATTTTGGCACATTGGAATTCATTTTTATAACAACTTAGTGTTTTGTTTGGAACAGGGTACTAGATTGCTTCTTAAGTAAACATGGCACGGAGTGGTGGAAAAGATTTTGTTTCGATGAATATTTATGACATGCTTGAAGGTTTCTCCCATTCACCAATGGAGTTTTGTATATTTAGATTACATGAAGAACTACGTCAGTTAAACGACAAGGCCTATGACCCAGAGATTATTTCAATAGGTCCTTACCACCGTGGTAAACAAAACCTACAGATGATGGAGCGGCACAAGCTACGCTATTTTCATTCACTTCTTCAAGAAAAAAATCAGAGTCCAAAAAAATATGTCGATGCTATTGGAGAACTAGAACAAAAAGCACGTCAATTTTATGCTGAACCTATAAGCCTTGATTCAGATGAAATGATCACAATGATGGTACTGGACGGCTGCTTTATCATTCAATTGTTGCGGAAGTTTGATATGGAATTCTTGAGAGATGAGAATGATCCTATTTTTAAAATGGACTGGATTTTTAATAGGTTGCAGCGCGATTTAATGTTATTTGAAAACCAAATTCCGTTCTTTATACTGTGCGAGTTATTTGATATGATCGAGGCACCAAACAACCATAACAGGCTCATTTATTTGGCCTTGAATTTTTTTAGTGATCTTTTACCAGGTACCGGTAAAAGGGAAGATGGAAAAGAGTCACACAGTAAGAGCAGTCATTTACTCGGGTTGATACACAGTAACTGGCGCCCCTCATTTGCAGGGTTGGAGCCTGTTGAAGATGCCTCAAATAAAAAAGGAAAAGGGAACTGGCGATTCATTCCTAATACAAGAGAGCTCCAAGAAGCTGGAGTTAAGATAGAGAAGTTTGAGGTTACAGGAGGTAGCTTGTTTGATATCAAGTTCAAAAGTGGGGTATTGCAGATTCCACCTTTAACCATTGAAGGCAGGACAGGGTCATTCTTCAGAAACCTCATTGCATATGAGCAATATAGTCCTGATAGCCAACTCAGTTATGTCACTGATTATGTGAAATTTTTAGATTGCCTCATTGACTCTCCAAAGGATGTCAAAATACTTTCTCGTTGTGGTATCATTGATAATTGGTTAGGTGATGATGAAGCGGTTTCCATCTTATTTAACAAGATTAGTGACACGGTCTCGGGGACAAGCACGCATTTCCAGTATGCTGATATCTTTAACAGGGTGAACATCCATTGCAGCCAGCCCTGGAATCTGTACAGGGCAACTCTGAACCGGAATTATTTTAATAACCCGTGGGCAATGATTGCAATTATGGCTGCTTTGGTATTACTTCTACTCACTTTGACACAAACTGTATTTACGGTTTTTCGCTGGAAATTGTAATTGTTGGAGCGACAAAATAGATGGTCACAACTTATTGGTGAGAGTATCAGTGTGCTCTTCTTTATTGTCTTTAAACTCTCCGTTTGTAATTACTTTGACAATATTCATACATATATGTATAATATGTGTATGTTTGCTCTGGATATTGATTTGCTCTTCAGTGAATTGTTCTCTTCTCCTCTCTTCCCTTTTTGTTATTCATTCTTTTCTGTTTTGTGTCTGCTTTATATATTGATTTGCTCCGGTGGATGTTTCTCTCTCTCTTTTTTTTTTTTTTTTTTTTTGCTTAATCCTCTCTCTCTCTCTCTCAGGGGGTGTCTCTCTCTCTCTCTTTTTTTTTTTTTTTTTTTTTTTGTTTTTTTTAGTTTTCATTCTCATCTGTTGCTTTAATATGTAAACTAAATAAATATAAAAAAAAAATACTTGGGAGCTCTAATTGAACATTTTCAATTTATCTCTAATGACATGGAATGGACCATGTGAAGGGCTCCTACACTCTTTTATCTCTCTATTCTTTTTCTTAGAGGTCAAAATAGGGATAATGTATTAGAGTATGTAGCACCACTCATTTATGACACAGTTAATCCATTCATTTATGTAGTTTACTATTTTGGCAACAACTTTTACGCCTTTACAATCCTAATATTTTGGTTATTATGCTAAGTGATGTTAAAGTCTTGTTTGTTATGAGGTGAAGAAGCATAGGTTATGTACTTGCTATATTGGTTGTGAACATTTTGGTATTTTTAACTGGTATGGACTAATAGGCTGGGTGAATTTCAACATATAGAGGCAAATAGACTTGGTGAATTTCAACATATAAAAAAAAAAAAAATAGGTTTAGTAAATTTCAACCGATAGATACAAAATTTGAACAAATAAGTTCAAAAAATTTATCAGATAAAAAAACTTTTTGAACAGATGGATTAAAATAAAAATTTTGGTGGTAAATGTCCTTTTGACCAACAAATGTTTTTATGGCCCTAATAGTTTCACCCTTATCCTTAATGACTTACCGGGGTGGGAATATTGATTTATCACCATTTTTTTTTTTAACTATACTATTTATTTCTATTTTTTTTAAGATGCACACAACCTAGTTGCACTTAAGAATAAAATATTTGTGAAAAATATATATAAAAAAAATAAAATAAATACATAAAAATACAAAATATACTGAAGTTTTGTAATTTTTTTTTGTTGTATTTAGTGAATGTTTTAAAGAATTTTTTCACAAATATTATACTTTATTTATAGGGTAAATTACAAACACACCTCCTGAGGTTTACTTAAAATACGAATTGCCCTTGTAGTTTGAAAATTTACAAATACCTTCATGTCAGAATTTTTTATTTAATAGAATTAATTGAAAAGGTGAAATTGCTTACTGTTCACCTATATAATAAAAAAATTATTTGAATTATTAATTGAAATAAAATTTTAACATCATTAAAAATTGTTAATTAACTGGATGATTTATTAACAAAAGGACATATTTGTTATGAAATTAGAAACCTTAAGGGGCATAATATAATTTTTAGAACCACAGGGGATAATTTGTAATTTAAGTAAATCTCAGGGGGTGTGTTTGTAATTTACCCCTATTTTTTTTTATTTTATATTATATGCATTTAAATCTAAAAAGTAAAAACATTGCTTAAATAATTAAAAAAATATGATACCACCCCAAAAGAAAAGGGTTTATTATACTTTTTACCTCCAAATTATCATTAATTATCTACTTAATCTCTAAACTATCGATTGAGTCTATTAAGTTACTAAAACATATAAATCAAAATTTATTTAATTCATAAATTATCGATTGAATCTATTAAGTATCTAAACAATTTTAATTCAAACACATTTACTCCCTGAAATGATTAAGCAAATAAAATATATGTCCATAATTATTATAAATTAGTAAAATACCCTACATAGTTAATATTTTATTTCAAAAAAAAAAACCTAAAATTTTATTTTATCTTTAAAAAGTGTTTTATTTCGCTCTGTGATTAAATTACTACCAGATGTTGGTTTATCAGTCTTGCCAATAAAATTATACGAGTATTAGATATATTGAAGAAATAAAATTAGATAATTTAAATAATAAGATTTTGCTACATATAATAATAAAAAATAATATATTAATTAAATTATAAAAAAAAACTTAGTGAAAAATTTAAACACAATCAATTAGGTTTGAATTAAATATTTTAGATAGTTACTAGATTCAATTGATAATTTACGGACTAAATAGAGTTTGATTTATATACTTTGGAAACTTAATAGATTCAATTAATAGTTTAAAGATAATTTAGCACTTAAAACTGAATGTATTAAGTGATAATTAATTAAACCCATTTGATAACCATAATTGATATCACTTAAAAACTTAAGTGCCTCTTAAAATGTGGGTTAAAACTTGTGAAAATTTTAAGTTACTTAATTCTAACTGAATCTATAAATATTAAACACAAATATCAATATACACTATTAGAAGCTCACCACCACCACCACTAGTGCCACCACCACCGCCTTCGTTATCATTGTCACTGTCATTGTCGTCACAAGTACCACTATAATTTTACTGCCACTACCGCTACCACCACTACTACTATCACGACCTGAACCCGACCCTAGAGGTTTGGATCATAATCGGCCAGCAATCATGAGATTAACTATGGCCTCAGACAAAAATCAAATCATATTTAATTTTATGGGGCTAGATATGGAAGCAAAAGTAAAAGATTTGGCCAATGAGCTTATGCATAAATGGCATGAACAAAAACATTTGTACATTAATAACGCACACCCATATATATACAAAAAGATTTCACATGTCCAAGATCATACATATATCATAACCATACAAAAACCAAAACTTATATACAGATGTAGTCAAACATGACCAATAAGAGAAAATAAAAGATCAAAATCAAAAGCCTCGTTTGTAAGGCGTTCCGTAGCTGACTTCACAAAATCTTAGTAATCCTTTCATAGGCTCACTAAGGTTGGGCATCCCGCTGTTCACCTACATCCATATAAATACGCAGCGAGCTAATGTCCAGTGAATAATATAAGATTAAAGGGGTTATGTGAATAAGTTCAATGTTTAAGTAAAATCATACTCATCGTAATAATTTCATGTCATAACGAAACGACCTTGGGTCCAACAGATAGCAGAACGACCTCGGGCCCAACGTATAACATATGCACAGAACAAAACAAATCATATCTTAACAGAATGACCTTGGGTCCAATCATTTACAACTGCATAATGACCATTTGGTCAACTCATTGCAGATATTCAGACTTATCAGATATTCAGAACGACCTTTGGTCTAGTCAAATATATGGAACAACCTTGGGTCCATTATACACATTTGTGTCACATCAATCACATTTACAGATATCATGTTGGTCGGACAGATAGAAACTCATTCACACTTGCAAAATCGTAAGTTCGAAAAACTTACCACATTAGGATATTCAAAAAATAGAGTAAATAAGAAAATAGCTTTACTAAGATATTATTACTCACAGTGTTCTTAGTGTTGTCATGCCTCCGTGATCCAACCTACATTACACACAACACATAACACACATTGGAACATTTGGCCAATTCAAATCATTCTTGCTTTACTTAATTCTTTTCACTCAATTTCTTACTTATTAGGTCATTCATGAGGCCTAATTCATGTCTAAGAATGCTCAGAAAAGAATGAGAATGCACATGCGATCAGAATGTGTCTTTCAAAATATGTTGAAATAGAGCACTTCGCTCAAGTGCAACATTGGTTGCTCGAGCGGACCACATGGTCTACAAAAGTACTGGATGGTCTAAATCTAGCTCGAGCTACGCTGGATGTTCACTCGATCCAATGTTCAAAATAAAAGGCGGTCACTCGAGCCAACTACAAGTGTCTACGAAAATACTGGATGCATGAAATATGCGCTAGAGCGACAACTTGTTCGCTCGAGCGATGAGGCCAAATTTTAGAATTTCCAGAACACAGTTTGAACTTCAAATCATGTGTTTAAAGTGTAAAAGCTTGCATGTTGGGATCAAACCTTTGAAAATACATGGATATATATATATATATATGAACTTAATTTGAAACAATGAGCTTAAAAGTATCATGAATTGCCAAATTTGCAACCACACTTCCATGCATGTATAAAATTGTTTCCAAAGAGCTTGAAAAACATGTAATTGAGTTCTAAAACAACATGATTCATGGATGCATGTAGAATTGAACTTCTAAAATCAACATAGGTAATATAACTCATGATCAAAATGGTGATTCTACACTCTTATTTGTATGTATATATGAATTAACTTTAGATTCTTCATCTTAATCTCATTTCTTGCATTTAATTATGTAACCTTTATGAATTTACATATTGATGACTTCAATTCACAAATTAAGGTGTAAACACCTATCTAGAATCTTCAAGAACACTAATCTTTGCAAGGACTTGAGTTGTCTTCCTTAATTCTTCAAGCCTCTAGCCAAAACTCCCAAGTTCTCTTGCCTTTGTCTCTCTAACTTGCTCTCACTCTCTCTGTAGAATGTAAATTTCAAAATTTTTGAGCTCAAGAATGAACTAATCTCATCACTTAACATATATATATACACATGATTAACTTAATTCACTAATTAGGGATTAAGCTAGTTAATTAGAGTTTAAGGCTTAATTAAATATAACTTCACTTAATTGATTTTATATAAATAATTTAATCTGAATCAAATTTTAATCAAACTTTTCATTAGTCACTAAAAATTCTGCCAATCACAATAAACTAACCAATTTCGGTTTCTGACGCCTTTAAGGCCTTCAATTTCAAATTATAACAGAAGTCACAATAGATGTTCCTACGGCTAACAGATATGAATCCAAAAATCATATGAAACACATGATTAGCATTCAAAATTAATGATTAAGAGAATAATACGTAACGGGGTTGTTACAATCTTCCCTTCTTTAAGAAGTTTGGTCCACCAAACTTGCATTACCTCGTGTCGGGAATAACTCAGGATACCTTTGCCTTATTTAATCTTCTTTCTCCCAAGTTGCCTCCATGCCATAATGCTCTTTTCATTCTACTTTTACAATAGGAATTTATCTATTTCTCAACTGTTCCACTTGCCGGTCAAGGATTTGGATCGGTTTCTCTTCA